TCTATCGATTCTACTATTAATTACAATATAATGTCAGTTGATATCAATTTCCAAATATCTATATAATTCTTTCCTAAATTAGGTCACCAACTGTAACTGATTTTGTTAATGACCAGCAAACTATACCTGATGGAATTCATCAGAACTTACTGAAATCACCTGTTATTGAATTAGAAGTAATAGAATTGAGACAACCTAATATTAATACATTAGCATAAAATGACTAATAAAATGTACATATTTGAGGAACAAAATCGTCAATATGGTTCGTTGATTGAAAACCAAAATCAACAACGATCTCATCTTGAAGGTCAACGGCAGTTAAGTGGTACTAGTAGTATGGTAATCATTACTCTATAAAAAAAATAATAAAACAACAACAAATAACTGATTTTCTTAGTCCGGTCGTTCGAATCAAACTTCAGTCGATGTTGAAGAAAAATTGCGTCGTGATATAAAACATTTACAAGAACAACTTGAAGTAAATATTTACAAATCATTGATTTTTTTTTCGTTTGAATGAAAATATATCTTAGATTCATGTACAAACAATTGGAATCTTAGTAGCAGAAAAAACTGATATATCAGCTAAATTAACTCAATCATTTAAGCAACTTGAACGTAAACAAAGTGAAATGGATGAATTGCATGGACGTTTAAAAGCATCACGTGAACGTGTACAAGAACTTGAAAAACAAATACAATATTCAACATCAAATGTACAAAAACGAGAAATGGTATTCACATTTTACTTTCTTTAAATTTTCTTCTTCAATCTTTGTTTTTTTCTTTAGGCAGCTAAAGAATCTGATAAAGAAAATGATCGATTAAAAATCGAAAATATTCGACAAAGGTTTATTGCTTCATATAATTATAATTAACACTATAAATTTATTATTCTAGTCAATTAGTTGAAGATTTAAAACAAAATATCAATGAACTTAATGAAAAAATTCATCATCGACAAGTTATTGTTGACCAATTAAATAATGAACTAGAACAATTAAAGACACAATCTCAAGTTTGTTATCAATTTTCAAAAGAAATTATTTTCTTTTTTATTATTATTATTAGTCAACTAATGCAACACCAATGACAGAACAAGAAATCGATCAATTACAACAAACAATTGAACTTAAAAATAATCAAATAGAAGAAGTAAAGAAAAGACATTTATCAGAAAAATCACCTACAATTGCTTCTCAGGAATTTTCTTATTAACTTAATTTCGTGTTAATTGACATACATCACTATATGTAGAGAGACCAATCGAATAATAGACATTTTTCTCTCACCATTAAGAGTAATCAGTGTTTATGGAACCGGTTTGCTGTTCGCTATTCAAACTTATTGATGTTAAGAGCAGAGAAAAAGTAGTCATCACCGTAGTTTCTCCATGTGTTTATTGGTTTCACCATTGAAAAATACAGATGTCTGCACGAATCAATTTTTATTTAATGTTATAGATGTATCAAAGAAAATTATTATAGTCTTAATAGACTTCTTTATTTTACAGAAAACAATCAAATGAGATCTTACTTTACTTTTATTTGCTTTTTTTTTATTTTTGAGAGAAATCTCTAAAAAAAAAGAGAAGCAGACAGCGTTGAATCTCTCTAATACAACAAAACCATTTATGACTTTAAAAACATCACTTCGGATACATCATCATCCAATTAGATCATAATATAGAATAGAAAAACATATCAATACAAGCTTAGAAATCATTGAAAATATTCTTTGAAATCGAAAATCAATCACAACCTATTGAACTTTTTGTATCACGCATGATTTAAAGCAAAAATGACCACAACATCTAACTTTTCTTTCGTCAAATAGTCTCTAAAACCGATTTACATTGAACATTATGGGATGTGCAAACCAGTCATTTCCTTTGGGACTGCTTTGATTACTTAGTCAAACGCCTTCTTCTCAGAACAGGCATTGTAAAAACGGCAAAAAAATTTCCAACTAATTAAAAAATATGCTAGAGACACCCTTGTTCAACAATGGTATTCAGACTTATTTATACGTCATCGAGAGCAAAAGGGTTAAGATTTAGGGATCAGTGAGCATTCTATAAACATCAAGTAATGACTTTTAAAAATAACATCAGTTGTTTTGTCTTGAAAAAAATTGAACATTCATCTAATTTAATAGTATTGCTTAAAACTAGGCTTGCACTGAACCTGAACTTCAGCTCGGTGTTCCGACTGAACAGTTTGCGTCTCAGTTCGGTACGGAAAAATATCTCTTTGATCGATCGAGATAGTCACAATATACAAAAGAGAAAATTACGTAGCAGACACTAGACAAAAGACTTTTACCTATATCTCAGTGCTTTATAATAGACAGAGTGAGAAGCGAACCGATGATATAAGAAAACAACTATTGATGCCAGACTGTTTTGTCTATATTAGAGTAAACCTTAATACGAACGTTGAGCCTAAACATTCGGGTTTGGTGCAGGTCTACTTAAAACAGTGACAAAATCTATAAAAGAAAATCAAAAATATTTGACATTTGTTGACTGAAGAAATCGAGCAGAAAGAATTTGAGGTTGTCAAATAATTGTCTTCATACTGCGGCGATGTAACAAGATTTGTTACATTGAATATCATAAAGATTGATGTCTCAAAATTGAAATTGTTTTTCTCTTTCGTTTTTTGGATTGATACATCTTTGTAGAGACTTTCGTAAAATAAACGTTTTCTTTTTATTATTAAAAAGCTATTTTCATCCATCAATCGAATACGTTCCGATAGTGAACAATATCAACAATACAATACAAATATGCAGAATCATATTCAAGAACGGAATGAACAAGTATTAGACATTTATCTCAAATTTTTATCCAATGCTTTTTTTCTTTGTAATTCAGATTAATCAATTAATTCAAACAAATAATATATTACAAAATGAACATGATATCATGAAAAAAACTTATGAAATGAAATTATCTGACCGTAGTTTAATACTTGATCATGATAATCTTCAACAAGAAAATGATTTATTTCGAAATGCTATTGATCAATGGTCAAATAGATATGAAGAATTAAAATCAAAATTCGAACAAATGACTAAGTAGTCAGCTTTGAGATTTATTATTCAAATTCAAATTTTTATTGTCTTAGATTATTAGCTGAAAAAGACGAACTTATTGTTGAACTTAAAACGAATATTAATAATTCAAACGATCTACTAGAGAAAAATCAATTAATTGAACTTGAAGAACGATTTATTAATATGGTAATTAATCTTAAAACTAAATTAAAAAAAGAAACAAGATTTTCTTCATTTCTAGTCAAATGAAAATATTAACTTAAAAACTCAAATTGAAACAATTGAATATTTAAATAAACAATTAAATGAACGTCTTGAACAAATTCAATCAAAATCAAATCATGAACAAGAATCTCAAACTCAAGACCAACAATTGAATTTATCATTAACATTAAATTCAAAAGATAATAATCAATCTCAACAACAACTTCTTGTAATTAACTTATGGCAGCAACGTCTTGGCACAAAAAAATCATTCATTTTTCTGCCACTAAAAGGCAACCGATTAGAGTTAGTTAGAATTAGAATTTTTTGTTGCCGGCGAATATATTTTCAGGTTTTCCTTCAGGTCTAAGATTGAACAACTATCAGCAAATTTTGTGAAAAAAGTCCAAAATTGTGTCTGTACAAAGCAAAATAGTGATTTTTACGTAGTCCTTATTTTATCATATCACTCAAAATCTATGTGTTTCTACTAAAGAGCTGTTTTATTGTAAAAATCGAGATTGCTAAAAAAATCGCTGTTTAAAAAACTACTTTTCAAGGGGCATAAATTTTAAAGTCTTTTATGCAATATAAGATAGAAAAGTAAATTTGACGCTTTGTAGAACAAATTTTTTACTGTACAAAACTAAGTAATTAAAAATTGTTTCACGTTTTGAATTTGATAGATTTCAATCGAAATACAATATTGACCAAAATAGTATTCTGTACAAGCACTATCTTAAACCTTTTGAAACAATTTGATAATAGTTATTCGATCTTGTCTCAGAAGGAAGATCTGACCACATATTGAGAAAGATTGAAAAAGTCTGATTCTTGCAAATCGCTTCTGAATCTAACTAACTGTCTTTAAGTGATCGAAAAATGAGTGAACATATTTGTGCCAAGATTTTCGCATCATAGGTGATTATTTCTTTTTTTAAAGGAATGTTTAAATGAATCAAAATGTGAAAATGCTGATTTAAAAGATCGTATACAACATCTTGAACATGTTATTCTTCAATTACAAGGTGAAACTGAAACAATTGGTATTAATTAAAAATTTTATTCAAATATTTTCATAAATTATTTTTTATTTCAACATAGGTGATTATATTTATCTATATCAACAACAACGTGAACAACTTCAAAAGCGTTATCAAGAAAAAGATATGCATATTACAAAATTAACACAAGATCGATTTAATTTACAAGTAAAGTTAAAATTTCATTTTTCTTTTACAAAGAAACAAACAACAAAAGATTTCTTTGTTTTTATTTAGAAAAAATTATCAGAATTAGAAATCTTACTTGTACAAATTTTAAATATACCGCTTACAAGTATAATTCAATCACACGAATTTAATACTGAAATACCTACTAGACAAGATGATATTAATTCGTCTACTCAATCAGAATTCAGCACTAATAATCATCGTAAGTTATACGAAGTCAGCATATATAACATTGGACGATAAGAAATTGAAATATTTCCGTTTCGTTTCATTCAAATGTGCTAGTTGTTTTAGTTAGTGATACAAGTAGTCTATTCCAAACTTTACTTTTCACACGAATAATGTAAATAAATACTATCATTAAGTACTACTTCTAGCCTCACTTAGGAAATTTCGACCTATTGTCAAGTAAGAAAAATATATATGAAACGCTCTAAAATAATTTTCAGTTGTCATCTAAGAGTAATGCAAATAAAGTCAATTTTCATGGCTGGTTAGTTTAAATGTCAACGATTCCAATATTTCGAATTACTAAACATCAGGCGCAGGTTTTATGAGAAAATTGGTGATTGAGTATCTCAAAACTTCAATTTTTGTGTTTTAGTTATCGAACACAAATTTCAATATTTAAACTAATCAATCGTGAAAATTTACGCCATGTCTATCAATTTACTATCATTAACAAGTTTCTTTGATTTCTTCTTTTTATTCTCTTAGATGAAAGCTTAATTCGTATGTAAAAAAGCTTTGAATAAAATTGATTCTAATTGTATTTTATAAAGGATATGTGTTTGTCTCTTTTGGAATGTGACCATAAAAATGTCTGCCTTTTTGAATATTTTCCAGAAAGATAAAATCGATGCAAATTTCAGATCGTTCGATCTGATTTAGAACACATTAACGGAAAGATGTCCATTCACAACAAAGAATTACTCCAAATCAAATAATTTATTGAAAAATAGTCAAATGAATGATTGCTTAGAGTTAGAATGCAAAACTTCAGTTCAATTTGCGAATACCTTTTAAACTATATTGAGTGTAACATTGAAAAGTTCAATTTCATTCGAGCTTTAGTCTCTCCTACCATGATGAATGACAAAACACTCTCTGATTGATCCTAGATTTTGTTTGAATATATGTTATATGAAAATCTTATTTTTAGAACAATTGGAAACGATCGATAATGCATCGTCATCAACCATTAACCAAACAATGCCGTTAAATAGCAATAAAACTACTAATTCGACATTATTACGAGAAATAAGTGATGAAACCAAAGCACGTATTTTGGCATTAATCAAAGAATTAGGACAGAATAATATACCCTCTAGACAAAATGATAATTTATCGACGATTAAGTTGGCATTTGTTGATACAAATCTTTATACATGTTCAACATGTTCAGGTCCTGTGCAGTTAGTGTAAAATTCATTTTTCTCATTTGTTTTTCATTCGAAAATAAACATATTTATAATTATTCTTGTTTTCTTGCTTCTTTTTTATTTTAGTTCTTATTTTATTATAGTAGCACAGCACTAAAAAAAAAGGCGTTTTTCTTCTATTTATTATCATTATTTATTACTCTTTCGTTGATTTTTAAATGTTGATAATTGTTTTTTTTCTTTCTTGTTAAGTATTCATAAAATTTAGGTAAAAAAAATCTACATAAATGAAGACCAATATTAATTGTATATTTATATGATTTTGTTAATTGAAAATTAAATTGATTTTTGTTTTTCTTTTAAGTTATGTAGAACAATCCAATAGACAATATCATCAGTTCCCGAAGATAATATCATCTTGTTGAATTTAATCGAAGATAAACATTGATTATGCTTATTGGAACTGTCAATCGAAGGTAAAATATAAAGGTTTTTATAGTAGATGTATTCCATTAGTTCCATGACATTGAATAGATGATAATACGTCATATAGAATTAGTAGGCAATAGTGTTCAGTCAAGTGATATGTTAGGACTATTGTGCTCTACATTGATCAAACAAAAAATCATTTCTCGAGGGAAAATATTTCTTCTAATTTTTAACAGTGAATATCCAAATGAACCGATATAGATTAGATCAGCATAGCTATTTGAATATGTATACAATTTCAACATCTAATTATTTAGACGCGTGAGTGATCAGACAACAGAGAGTAATAAGTTTTCTTTGACATATTTTTTCAGAGAGAATATAAGAATCTTATTATTATTCTATTACTCACAGAAGTATATTCAAGAGATGCCGATAAAAAGCAGAAGTTGTTCATGCATAAAACAAATATGAAGCTATAGTTGAACATTGAGTTGCAATCAGTAATGATGATGATCATATGAAGCGTCAATTTGTATTATATTACTTTCTCTGAACAATAAGCAACAACCTACATATACATGAAGAGGGAAAAAAAGAAACCGGATGATAAAATACACTGAAAGAAATAGAAATCAATAATTGTCATCATCAAAGAAAAAACGTTTTAATTGACATCATTGAATTTGTTTATCTTAATGTCTAACGAAATTTTAAAAAAAATGCATACAGAACATCCAATTTCCTTTCTATTACCTATTCTGATTAAGAAAAAACAATGGAAAACGTTGGAAAAGCATAGATAGAGCGAAGGAATTATCATTGACAAACACGTCTTTTGTATTTATTCAGATAACGCATGAATGTTCTCACATCATAATGTACTTTTCATTAATAAATTCTATAGATAAAAATATCAACACTTATATAATTTATTTGTTCATGTCAACTTACATCGTCTCTATTTCTGTTTCATAATCAACAAATGTTGAGTTTGATGTTAATGAAACAAGAGATCGAACAGTTGCTGTTACATCTGATATAGTTGTCGTTGTTTCTAATGTACTATAACCTGACCAAAAAAATCCATAAAATGTTGCTAAAGCAATAGCTAATAATGATATAGATATTAAATAACTAAAAACAAGTAAAAAACGTAAAATTTTTTTTCGCATTAAACTATTATGTTCTTGTCTTAATGGAAGAAATGATAGTTGAATATCATTTGCTGATGGATCATTTTTTGCAATACTCATCCAAAGACTTTGTCGTCGTGTTGCTATTGCTGTTGTTTGTAAACTTTTTCGACGTGGTAATAAATTATTAAGAAGAACTGTTGATGAATGTCTTTTCGGTGACATTGGTCTAGGTTTTATTCTACGATCAGAAGATGGTGATAATGATGATACTCTTCCAGGACTTGTTCGTATCGGTGAATATGGTATACGACCAAAAACTAGTGGTTCATCAATTGATTTTAATGACTTTAATCTTGTTGAAGGTAGATGTGTTTTGGAATTGCTACTGTTATATACTTGAAAACCTCGAGATTGTGATGAATTAGCCATGATTCATATAGATTTTAATTTAAAAGGAAGTCTTCTATAAGTATATTTATAAGAAAATAGATTCATGAGGTATTGCAGTAGTTTTTATTCATCTAGAACACTATACTTTATTGAATTAATCATAATACCTCTCTAACTAAGAAAAAGAACCAAGAAAATTGATTGTTAAAAAGATTTTTTTAAAACATATTAAGTAACTTTGTGAAAACAGAAAAATCACAACTCAATTTCATTATTTGCAAAGAGAAAATCCTTTAATAAGTTCGTTATGCTTATTATATGCAACGATGGTCATATAAGAATGTAGGAAAAAATACTATAAGACAAGATTGGAATTTTGATCAGAAAAAAAAGAAAGAGACAATCAACGACGAACAATGGAGAAAAAGAAGAAGAAAAAGAAAAAAAGAGGAGTATCTGCTTCGCATAATCGAGAAAAAAAACGAGACTCAATCTCCATAGACACAACACATATTGTCAAGTGTTCCAATTATCTCTTATGTATACAACAATCATTGTTGACATTCTCTTGGTGCCTCTATTGAACCGCATCTTTGTATGTGTATATGAATCTATCCAATGTGCCATCCTAGTTTATAATGCTGGATACAATAAAACTCTCCCTTATCTTGTTTGTTCTAACAAACAAATAATTGGTGTTGTTTCTTCTCGCCATCATTCTAATATTCTTGTTCGTGCCTCATATTTATCGTCGATACAACTAAATGTTTCTTAGCAAGTGGAATCTCTTTTCTACATACAGATATTCATAAAAAAGGAAGAACATCATCCTTAAAGCTAACTATTAGATCTCATAAATGAAAAAAATAAATGTTGTGTAAGCATGCATAAGGACATTATGTCTTACCAAAATAAAGTAATTAAGCTAAAGGCAAAGAAGAAAAAGATAATATTGTCATAAGGTTTTATCATTACTTTTAATTAACGATGAATAAAAATATTCGTGACTTATTATATGAATAGACGAGACATGAATGTCAAAAAAAGATCTATCATTATTTTTCTATAGTGTTTTTTTCTTGTATTTGTCTATACACCTTCTCTTTTAAAACATCAAGAAGGAAGTGACATTTTGAAAAAAAAAAGAACTGCCAGAAAACGATGTGCTGTTGACAATTATTTTCTATTCCTGACTGTGTTTGTAACACAAAGTAATCCTCTTTTCTTTCTTTTTCCATTTCTTTCTTGTCTTTTTATATGTCTTATTTTCAATTAGACAAAAGAACATCGACTTTTCTTTGGTTTCTTTCCATCTCATATGGCCCATAAGTGTATCTCCATGATGAGATAGAACTACGGAATGTGATATTTCTTTTTGCTATTGTTATTGCATATATTAATTTGATAGATAAGTAGTAATTGCTTAGAGATGTAGAAAGTGTGTGGTATGAAGATATATAAGCCCTCAGGTTTTAGTTAATCTTATTGGAAATTTAGCTTAATCAAATTGCTTTCTTCCTAATATTAGAGACTGTTGATAGAAAAATCATAATAATCGATAGACATTGCGATTAACTATAATCATAAAATGATATTATTATGGCATCAACTTGGAATACAAACACAAACTGATAATCTATTTTTATTCTTCAATAAATTGTATTATTAATTAAAGAAAGAACTAAATGACCAAACTTGTATATATTTATATAAACATAAGAGCATGAAATTAATTTTTTATAAGGCTAAAAAAACCTAAGAAGTGCCGACTGATTGTTTTTGTCATTCAAAATATAGATTTAACTTTATGAAGAAAAAACAAATAACTTAATATGGATATATATATATGAAAAGATGGCTATGTCATAAATCCATTGCTTGATAAATGTAAAATGGCAGATGACAATAATATGAATGTGTCATGTCATGTGTATATTCGTCAACACAGATGGTTTAAGAAAATCGTCTCATATTAAGTTCGAATTTATTGTCATTATATGATTTATTTTTGTTTACCCTCGATAGAAATTGTCATCGTCAGATGTAAATTTGACATCTGAAAGATACGTGTTATGATTTTGCATCGATACTCATATAGGTATATATTGATTATTCTCGAGTCAACAAATAAACTGATATCATTCACGAGAAAGTGATTTGAGTTTATCAATCAACTAGTGTCGTTTGTATCAATTTTGATTTATAGATGCATTTGTAATGTGTTTCTAACACACTAATGTATGATTGATTGAAGATTTTTCGTGTCATAAGAAACTTCAAGAGCATCTGCCTATTATATATCTATCAAATATCCATTTTCTTAATACAGTTGATAGTATGTGTCAAATATAATTTTTTCCATAAGGTTCTAGACTATTAACAATCTATGAACGTTTATATGACTTTGGTACTGACAAAGTAAATATCGAATTGATCAGTTGTTTTTCCAACTTATATTTTCTTACAAAAATGATTCTTTTAGATCGAAGCACAAGTCAGTCGTATCTTTCATAGCTTAGATTTCACTAAAACAAAAACCAAATGTTTCTGATGGGTAGAATATGCATCAAAGTCTTGCATAAACTCGTTTTCTTAGTTCACATTTATAATAATTCGTTAGAACATTTATTATTTTTTTATTTTCTAATTTTTCATGTATTTAGGTGAGATAATGATGATGCATATGTTCAAACAAGACACGAATTACACAGACATTAATTGAAAAAATATCTATATGAACAAGAAAAAGATACTAAAACAAAAAAGTTTTATTACATCTTGTTGCAATGGTAGTCGAACAGCCACGAACTCAACGTCGATTGAAAATAAATCAAGTAAATTAGACTTTATTTTTGACCTTTCCTGACTCAAGAAAAATTTCACTACCTTTTTTGCTTTTTCTTACTGGTTCAGCATGTCGCTTTTTGGTATTCCGATACAACATTAATTGAACCTATTTTACAACTAGATTCTTATTTTCTTTTGCCTTAATAAACGTACCAAATTGTACGAATTTGAATTTTGGTATTAATTTCGTCATTACTTCAATTAATTGAAATATAAATTATTACCCATCAAAAGACAAATATGACATAATACACATTTTGTGTTTGGATCCTTATCGTCAACGTTTAGCAGGACAGTTAGATTAAAACGTGCCTGTACTGGATGATATGATAAAAAATTATTCGGGACGCAACTGAAGACGAAGATATAAGAAGAATAATCGTTCGATTTGGTTTAATAAATAGACAATAGATATGTCCTATTGAAAATTATTTGCTGATCATGATTTTTGTCTGATATAAAAATTTATAGATCTAAATACTGATTTAATGATATAACTAATCTTCTTATTTTTAAATAGAACAGTACAAGAACGACCACATGATATTTCAAGTTTCAGAAGAACATTTAAGGAAAAAATACAATTAGTTTTTTCTTCGACAAAAGATTAGTTTTTCATTTTCTCTAGGCAAATCTTTTGTGCAGTTTTTCTTGTAATATATTTCAAGAGAAAGAACATTATAGAGAATAAATAAAAAAATAACATGAACAACAATAAAACATAAAATTTATTACTTTAGATTATTTAAGAATTATTAGTTGAAGAAAGAATATGAAAACAATCGATGTACTTTTATATATTCCAAATCTAATCGGTAGGAGAAAATTTTTAGTTGATTAAACAAATTGTTTATTATTATCTTAGACTATTTTCGTATATGTCTTCTTGTTCTTGCTTGGTATTATTTTGACAAACCGATTGTTTTCTTAACACTATATGCAACTCAAGCTCTACTTGATGGTTAGTAGATAGTTTATTTTTATTGCTTTAAATTTTCACTCAATTGTTACAGCTGTTGATGGGTGGGCAGCTCGGAAATTTAATCAAGTATCGAAATTCGGTTCTTGGTTGGATGTTATCATTGATAATATTGGACGGGGAATTATATGGACAAGAGTCTCATCGGTAATATCATATATTAGAATAATATAATCAATGAAATCTTTTCATAATTAGATCGGGATTTTTATTTCATCTATTGAATGGATTACATTTTTAGCATTAAACAGTCATGGATCTGATTGGAAATCAAAATTATCATCTAATAATGATCTCATCATTCGAAATGTTATGAAAAATGGTAAATATCATTTCATTTTGCTTATTTCATTTTTAATACGTATATTTATATGAAGGTTTTCAAACACCATTTGGCTTCTTAACAATTGTCCTTGGGATGCATGGATTGCCAATCATCATCTACACTATTAAATATCGACTTTTATTCGATGCGTCTTCTTTTTTATTGCAAAATATTAAGATAATATGCATCATTGGACGATTATTCTCATTATATTGTGAGGTGAGACATCGGTTACATATAAAAAAACAAGAAAGATTTTATTTGTTATGCTTTTTATTTTTTCTTTATGTTCATTTAGATATATGTTATCTATCTCTTTATCACTGAAGATTTACTCAAATAAGATTCTATTTATATCATATCAGAAAAAAACCTTTTTTCTAATGAACAAAAATAAATATAAGAATTAATGTGTTCAGCGAGTCAAATGTATTCTCTTTTTTTTGTTTTTTTTTATAACTAAATAAATATATTGATTTTTAAAAAATAAAAGTAAAATAATAAACGATATAAAATAATTTTTGCGCTCATAATCAAGTAGTAGTAGAAATAGATAAGATTAATGCATATATAATAGATAGACAATAGAATAGTTTTTGTGGTGATGCAAAAGTTGGATAAAATATTACATATGACGTGTATTTCCAAATATGATACCAGATTGTGTTGCTCCTTTATTGTAACCATATTGAGTACTGATTACTCTATTACCTTGCGTTAATGTTTCTGATGAGAAAGTTCGTTCATTTTTTTCACTTTCTTTTGGTCCTAAGCCACGTACACCTTGTTTTTGAGCCTAAATAAAAATGTTTAGTTTTATAAAAAAAAAAAGAAAAAGTAAATTATTTAATTTACTTTTCGACCAAGAGCAAAAAGACAAAGTATAACTTGATGAAGGTTCATTTTTTCATATAAATCAACCGTTTGAAATGTTTCTGAATCAGATAATCCATAAGCTCTAGCAGCTTGAACAAAACGTGCTATATTTTCCATTAATTTAAAATTATTTTCACCTAAAATAATTTAAATAAAATCCAAATTATCATAAATATATTTAAATAATTTACCACTATTAATTTTTGGAATAGAATTTGGTACAATGACATTCATTAATCTGGCAAAGAAAAACAAAATTCAGGTCTTCAAAAAAAAAAAACGTTAAATACTGAATTGTGAATCCTATTCCTTTTAAGAAGATATTTTGTGTGTGTGACAACTGAACATGTGTTCCGAGAGACGACGGGGCATCAGTTCAGATTTCAAATATAACTTCAACATAATTTTTTTTTCTTGACTCTCTCTAAGATAGGAAGGATTCACAATTCAGCTAATAAACCGATACTGGCAAAGTTTGCGTCCATCTCTTAATTGTTTATAAACATTATCCATATCTCCACTAGTATCGAATTGTTCACCAATCATTTCACTAATCCATTGTAAAGCTTCTTGAGCTTGTGCTACATCATATTTTGATTGAATCTATTTATTAAAACAGAAATTAACATTTTTGTATCAAATAACTAAATTGATTCGAATTCATTTTTTGCCTTACTTTTTGTATTACATTAGTATCTCAACCAATTTTTTGAGCATCTATAATAGTATTTATTGTTTTGTTTCTCGAATGTGTGTATGTATTAAATCAATGCATATAGACCTTTCTATTTTCTTTTACTACCTGCCTTTAGATGCTTCTGTCAAAATTTATCGTAATCATATATAGAGAAACGAACAGTGGAAGAGACCCTTGTGTTAACATATCAAATATATTTAAGTGCACATTTGAACAGAAAAAAAAAGTTTTTGTAATAAATTCTACTACTAAATATTGAATACGTAAATGAGAGAACAATATCGAGTGTCACTCTTTTCTGTTTTCTACTTGTTTTATCTCAAAGACATTACTGATATTATCATTCTATCTGTTAGTTAAATCTTTTATAATCTAAACAAAATTTATTGTACCGTTTAAGAAGTTCTTTTCGATCCAATAGTGAAATAAACAAAAAAAAACAAAGAAAGAATGTATAAGTGCATCATTCTTGACATATGGTATTACTTACTTTATCAAAAGCTTGTTTGGCAAAACCATGTTTTTCGGTTCGTTCAGCCATTATTCTTGTATTTTTGTTTTATCACTTATTATTTAAAGTGAATATTTGAATACCAATCAAAACGAAATGCTGACAGAAACAAAAAAAAATATGAAGTGTAACTAAATATTATTATTATATAATAAAATGAGAGAAATAGAAAAAATACTCTAGCTAGACACTCTCAATAAAAAACATAAACTTCGTTGCCTTTCTTTTTATTCTGTGAGCATACACTCACGTACATACACGTTTCGTGTTTTGTCCTTCGATTTCTCCATCTGCGTAAATTTTTATTGCATTCTACATTACACATTACATATTGCATGACATTTTGCAAAGGAAAAATTAATCGAGATAACATGATTAATATAAATCTGTTTGTTTGCATTAGAACGAGAAAAAAAATGATTCAGGAAGCCAGAGAATCGTATTCCAATAAAAGAACAAAAACAATAACTTTGCTGAGGCTTAAGCGCCGATTTTGATTTATTCATGGAAAGAAAGTCAAAGAAAAAAAAGAAACAAACAGAACAAGTAAAAGGAATCAATCATAATATTGTACCGGCAATCATGTTTACTAAAGTATTGCATTATATTGGTAACCTTTTCAAGTGTTATTTTAATTATGTTTTATATATTTTAGATAATAATCTTACATGTTCTAGTAATATTATAACAACACCATCAAAACAGTGTGCTATACGACTACCACAATGGCGATGTTGGCATCCACTATTACCAACATTTTCAGCTCAGCTAATAATTGCTTTTCGCACTCTTTTAGGAATTGTTATAAGTAAATAATAACCAAGTACATCATAGATGAAAATTTATTTTTGAATATCTTTAACCATACTGTGTTGCTGCATTTACTCTTTCACCAGTAGCATCTAATTGAATACAAGATCAACTTCTACTCGATGTTAGTTTAATAGTTGCGATAACAAATACACTTGGTGCAACAATTCAAACAGATATTCGTTTATTTGTTGCTGGTGCCATATCTGAAACGTATTGTCTTTTAATTTTAAATATTTGTCTACGTTATGTTTATTATGGTGTTGGTGCAAGCAATGTCCTTGTTCTTCTTATTGTACATACTGATTTACCAATAACTGTTCATCATTGTCCAATAGTACCAACATGTATTATACTTTGACAATAGTTTGGTAAATCACATATAAATACTTTATTATTTGTACTTGCAATTTGGACATGATTAACAATTGGTGGCACATTATCTGTTATTATAAGATATATTCCATTCCCATCTATACCAACCCCTTATCGTGAATTAACATTGCGTATAAGATTTATTGTTCGACAAGCGCAACGTGAAATAACAGCTATTGTTTTACTTACATCTGAATATCATAATATACATTTAACAGATAAATATTAATATCAAATTAGTCAAAATAAACAAAAATTGAATACTTCCGATGATAATGATGATGGTATTGAAATGCCAGTAAATCCTTATCCTGAAGATGATATTTGTCATTATTTACATTGATTAGTTAATGATGAATTAAAACAAATGCAATGTGCTTTAACTGGAATTTCATATGAACCATATTTTATATTGTTAAAATTACTTTATCTAACACGAAGATTCTTACAACATATTCCATTTATAAAAAAAATTCATTAAAACAAAATCAACATGACAAACACATTTATCAATATGGGCAACAGATTTTGCTTCTATATAACGAACAATTACTGAATTGTTAACATTAGATCATCATCATCGTGCATATTTTAGTCAACGACAATTGATTAATGTAGGTTTTGTTTTTAAAGAAGTCACGATGGAAATGGTTGAGCATTTTTTTCCTCTAATAGTATATGATAAATCAATATTCTATCAATTGATAAAGTTTGATTTAGAACTTATTTCTACATATAATACTTCTCAGTATGTTAAAACTTAAACCTGAGAAAAAAGACTGTTAATAAATAAGAAACTTTTCAATATAAATTTGAATTTTTTTGTTGTCAGTCAATTTGTCTTCTTCTTGATTTAATATTTAATTTGTTACATTCGATACTTTCATATACAACATCATCAATAATTTATTTTAATACAACACAAATAATTGCTTATCGAGCAAAAGTTGAAGAAGCACTTGAAGATTTTTTTTGAAACATATGCACAAGGACGTGAAAATTCACGTCATTCTACTATATCAAATACGGATGTAATTCGTTTAAATAAATTTCTTCTCCTTATTTTACGTATTGTTCATACAACTATAATTGCTGCTAAAATAAGTCAAATTCCTGGTGCTCATCTTGATATTGATTCAGATCCAACAACAAATGTACCGATATCGAAAACAACATTTAATTGGAAGAAACCATTTTATGATCTTGCTACTTATATTGGCATACGGCCATCATTGGTAAATTAGTGCGTTCAATAAAAAAAACAAGTTTAAGTGTACTTCTATCGGCTATTGTTATTTTATCATATCGTGAACGTTTACAAGCATATGATTGGCTCTGTTGGGCGCCGATGACAACAGCACTTATTTCCGATTGATCTGAAGGTGGTACACCGTCTATCATTTCAACATTTAATGGCCGTTTTTGGTTCAACTTACGCATATGTTGTTGTATTTGTCACACAAAATCATCTTTCTGTTGGAATATCTATTTGTTTATTTGTTAGACTAATAGGATATATTAACACAGATTCAAGAAAAGAATATTTTGCTAGCGTCTGTGCACAATCAGTATCAATAATAATGTTGCTTTTTAATCAACAAGGACAAATGAATCCATCAGATAAAGTTGTTTTAACTCGAACGAGTTTAACATTTTTGGGAATATTCACACATGTTTTTATTTCTAATATTTTTCTACCAATAACAGCTCGTGCATTAATTAAAACAAAGGTAATCATTCTTTTATTTTATTTGAAGCACAAAGGAATTTTTTCATCGATTATATTTAGGTATTAGTAACTATGATTAAAAATGTATTGATTCCATTAAAATCGTCCAGTGAAGATTTTTGTGCATTCATTGGTCCATCGGTAACATATCAACAAAATATATCACCAAATAAAACCCTATTTAATTTAATGAAAACTCTACTTGGAGAAGCATTAAAAGAACCAAATTTTTGGAAACGACCATTTCTGCAAGAAAAAGATCATTATAATGATATAGGGAAGTGTTTACGTCGAATGAGCGTTGATATTCGTTTTTTTCGTCGATGTACAACAGTACTTGAAGTTGAATCAAAATTACATTTTGCTCAAGAATCAAAGTAATTTCAAAATTTTTCTCAATATATCTAGCGGATACCAAAACTAGTGGCAGATGTATTTGAATTTCTTATAAAAAGTTTTAAGAAAAAGTTCATCTCGATATGGTCTAATAGAAAACACAATGCTCTACATTTCACTAATATTCGACCATTCTTCAACTAATATTATAATAATTAAACTTCAATACATGCTGTTTGTTATGATATGTGACGGTAATATTAGATTATATATTGTCTTCGATGTATATTCAACTTAATCAAACAAAATCGAAGCGATCAAAACGATTCGAAATCGTTGCATCATACTGTAAACAAGTTGATGAATTCTTCAAATAAAGACGAGTATAAAAAACGTGTGATAAATGAATTTAACGAATTCAATTGAGTTTCAATAATCAAAATGATTATTCCAAACATTTTATGAAATAAATACTGAATGAACTTGTTTTTCTACTTCTTTTTTTTGTTGTTATCCACATCACTTTTTCTATACCTTAATATGTATAGACGGCTAGGTATTAGGGGAGACGCAAAAGAAAAGAAGAGCAAAGAGAACATCAAGAAGAGGATACACATTGAAGACAAAATGTTACCTAATATTATCGTCATGTATCATAGCAAACAGTTATTAAAGAATTTTTATTATTATGATATTAGTTGTGAAATGATCAAATATCAGAGAAATGTAAAATATTCTTTCTGTTATCAGACCATATAGAAACATAGTTTCTTTAAGTTTTTTTTTTATAGAGAATTAAACTACCGTTTGCCATTACTTTTGATATACTCTAAGTAATATTTTGAATCGTTTTTAGATGGCAAATGCGTCGAACAGGTATTGCTCACAGGAATAATGATATTGATTCGAATCCATCTCATTCTTGGACAGTGACAGATTTACGTAAACAAGAACAATTACAAAATGACCTTGGTATATTTTTCACAATTTTTATGATCTGTTCTTCACATTCAACACCAAGATTTGAACAAAAAGCTCTTACATCAAATAATTTATCAGCATCACTTCGTTTAGCACATACAAGATTATATCAACCTGTACTTGAACATACATGTACACTTGAAAATCATATTCAAAAGGTTTTATCTTTATCAGAACAATTAATTGAAAAACAAGCTTTGTCTCAAATCGATCGATTGATAATCTTTTAGCATCTTATACATTGTCATATGCATTGAAAGATATGGTTCAAGCAACAACAGATATAGCAAAAAATGTTCGACGTATTAAACATATTGATACACAAACATTAACACGAGAGGAAAGAGAAGAAAATATTCCACAACAATAGACAGTATGACTAAAATCAAAGAATCTTTCATAAGAACTATTCTCTTTTTATTTTAATTGAATGTCATGTTCTAGTCTGATTCTTTTTTTATGTAGATGAATTATTGGCATTGAATTTCTTTTTTCATTTAATCTAGCATAATAATCTAGTACAATATTTTATAATCCCTTTTCTTATTGTTAAATATAGTTAAATAAATATATCAAATTATAGTTACCTTTTTTTTATGAAATTAACAGAGAAAAACTAAAGAATTATTTAGAAAATTTGAAATTTTTCCTATTAATTAAGATTATTTATATTGATCGAAGCGTACATTTGTGTAGTTAATATAGTTCTGTAAAACTTGAATCAAGAAAAATGTACGATGCAGTTCTTCAAAACTGTCATGTCATAAGAGTTTAGCCGATGATTAAATAGTTGTAGCAATCAATATGTATTAATGTATTCATCGTCACCCACTAGATACAGTGACGATCCAGTATATCAGTGAGCGAGGAAAGGTTATCATGATGAGAGCTGTACAATATTCCTCAACAGCGGAAAATTGTTCCATTCAAGCAGAAACGCTTCAATCAACGAGAACTCAAGCAGAAATACTTTTCTGAGAAATAATATCCCTTATATCAGATTATTCATACAAGACCAAATCGAACGCATTCCAGGCAGAAATCATTCAACCGTTTCTACCTCAACAAGGAGAATGCAAAATGACTTAAGGAGATATCGATCATATTACTTTTTCACTCTAAGGAGAAATTCTAGTGAAAATAGATTTTTTCCAATGGAAACGTAAATATTTCTAGCAGAAGTCCTTCAACCATTTTCATCTTGATAAGCAGAATTACATTTGACGTATTTGCAAATTCTTATTGAGACTTCATACCATGTAATCAGACACATGTCGAGTTTTTCATGAACGTTTTTTGTACTACAGAAACAAGCGTTCGGCTTTCTGATCTATACAATTTAGGATCAAGATTAGCAAGTGAACTGAAAATTGCAGACTTTCTTTTATATTATTTAGACTTTTGAGTTAAAATTCTAAAGTTTTGCTAAAAATATAATTTCTACAGATTAAAAAAAACCTGAAATTTTATTCAATTCCTTCGAAGAATTTTAAAAAAAGACTGACATTTATTGACCAGAGCAATAAGAAATTTTATAGAGGAGAAATCTACGAATGTTATTTAAAATTAGCAATTTGTCTATGATTTTCCACGCGGGACAACTGATTTAAAATATCTTCTCTCTGTTGTAAATAACTTCAGTAAATAGAAAGAAATTGCCATAAAACCAAAATATAAATCAAATTACATTTGATGTTTTTTTTCTAATCTTGTATAACTGAAAGATTCAATCGATTGAAGATTGAAAAAGAAAAATATTTCACGTTTTTCGTTTTGTTTTTTCATTTCTGAATCATTCTTCATCTTTTTTTTGAATGTTCGCTTGGTATTATGTCTCTATTTGTATAAATATATCGTTTATTGATCAATCAATTCAACAGGAAACATTAAATTTTGTTGATAGTTATTATTCATCTTGTAAATCTCATCAACAAGGAAATATTAATCTTATAATTTCAGCACTACATAGTAGTGGTCTAAAACTAAATTATCTATCTAATCGAACATCATGTGGTTATCTTCATTAAACAGATAATAACGTTAGAGTTTGTACATGGTGGTTTAATGACACTTGTTTTGATGGACAACATCGTGCTTTAACAATAGTGAAAAACACACTTAGTGATCAATTTGCTGAAAGTATTGCAAATGAATTAAGCAAACAATGATATCTAAAACCATTTGTTATCATTGGTAAATGGTAACGTAAAAAAAGTTGATTTTAATTGAGAAATCAATGGAGCAACTCTTAATCATCCTGAAGTGATATTAGCTCATCTAGGTTATCATTCAAATATTGAACAAGCTTTTCATCAAACCAATCAAAAATTTGATAAAGGCCTTCTTTTTCATATTCATGGACATACGCAAAGAAAGTGAGTAGAAAGTAAAAAACAAAACAGAGGCTATGATTTAATTAAACAAATTCACTTTTTTTAATTATACAATGATTGGATATCTTTTATCTAATGAAGCACTCAATTAAAATAATCTTAATTTATTATCAATAACAACATAGACTGAATCATTGTTTGATTCAAATGGAGAAGCATATATTCATGGTCAAAATTCGTTTGATACAATACTTGAATGTAATGGACTTAGTATTGCTTATTCATCATTATCAAATCTACATCTTTGAAATAATTAATTTTATTCTGGTATGGTTATATAACACGTTATTATATGCCCAGAATTAATACTATTCAAACGAAATTACCCAATGACATGCGAACATTATTTATTATTATTGATTTAAAATTATAAATTATTCATTGATATAGTCTAAAAAATATGTTAATACGATAGAAGAAAAACTTAATTCATGTTTCATGATTTTACAGTACGCGAACGTATATGTACACACACAATAATTGAAACTTGAAATCCAAGTATTGTTAATCCGAATGGCACTATATTTGTATATCTATGTCTATCTATGTTTAGAGGAAATGCTGACAATTGATTATTATGATCGTTGAATATTTCAAACTGACTTCAATATTTATTCATTTGAACTCTGATATAAAAGTCTGCTTCAATAATTTGCAATCAATTTATTTTCATCGTATATATATATTTTTCTCTGTTTATCTTTCATTTAGTTGAGATCATTTCTAAGAAAAAAGAACTTCGAATAATTATTTCTTGGTTAATGAAAATCAAATGCATTTCTTGTGCTAAATACTTTATTAATTTATAATATTTTTTTTAAATTTATGACATTCGTTTACGAATAAATCTTAAAGCAAGACGTTTACTAAATTCTCGTTTAAGTAATGCACGTCGTTTGTCATCATCACCATCATCATTATCATCGTCATCGCTATCGCTATCGTCAGAATCATCATAATCTCGTTTCTTCTTTGATTGTTGACGTTTTCGTTTGATATTGATTTGTCGTTTTTTGTCTTGGCATAATGTATCATTATTTTCTCGTTCTAATGCTAAAGCTTCATCATAATGTGCACAATAAGTACGTAAGATTGATCGATTCTTGATAGGATCACGCTGTCGTGCAGCAATATCCATAGCTTGTTCGCAAATATCTTCTCGCCATTGATCATCATCTGAATCAGAACTTAACTCATCGTCACGACGACGTAATTCGCGATATTCTTCCGGACATGAACGATGATCATTTGATGAAGAACTTGATCGAGCATTGATGACAATCAGTATGGTCATCAAGAAAATAAATATTGAAATAGAACTAGAAGAAAAATTTGTCTAATGTTTGGTTTTTCTTTTGCTAAACTATTCAGTTCCTTACTGCATTTTGTCTGTTTCTAGCTGATGTGTCTGTTGTTGATCAAGAAAATGATTTCAACGTATCTTGCTTTAATCATAGAAGAAAATGAATAAGAAAAGAGACAAAGAAGACAATATTAGTCTAACCACGCCAACGGAATAAAGAAAAAGATTGTTAAGTTGTGATTAAAATGCCTACATAACTAACAATATATTCAAATTTTTTCTTTGGCTTCGTTTTCTTCTTCTCATTGTGTATTCTGTTTTACATAAAATGAACAATGCTAATCACTATTTCCTGTTTGATTAATTTTACATTCTTAAAGCTTCGATCTAGGGATACAAAAAAAAAACAGAATATTTTATATACTGATAACTAATGACGCACATCCCTAATGCATCAATACAAGTTCAAAGTCTATAACTCATTGACATTCACTTACAACAAATATCTTCTCAAATAAACATGTCAATTTCGTATTCTATTTCCCGAAAGACGAATCTGCTATGAGTTTCTGTTCTTTTCAACGCAAAACATATTTATGCGCTTCCATTTTTAGGATCATAGAACATAGCATCATATACTAAAGATTGTATAAACATGTCAAAACGTTTAGCAATGCAGAGAAATTTACTGTGAAGTACATCTCAAAATCGAGTTAAGAAAAATAACAATACTTACTCAGTCGTCGAATTACTTTTGTCGTTCTCGTATTTTTATAGATTCTATTCACGAGAGAGATAAATCAGCTTTCGTGTACACATACGAGACGAATGAAAAGAAAGCAAAGATCATAGTTTGACAATATCATGCTCGAAGTACATATGTAAAGAATTTCAGCGATCATATATGCCATCGTAGTGACCCAGCGGCTGAGCAAGTGACTACTATTTTTCCAAAGCCTAATATTTATTTCGTATTCTTCGACAAGCTATTGTAGTTTTAGGCTAGATGCTTAATTCTATTAAATGTTTTATCGAATTGACGAACTCTATGATTTATTAGATATGGTAGCATGTTTACCTTTCTTTTTTATAATTTCAGGATAAATATTACTTCAAGTGGAGTAAGCATGGTTGAATATTCTTTTTTTTCAACTATATTTAATCTTGTATGACACAATAAATACAATCCTTCTCATAAAACCAGTAAATGATAGCTCTTTTGTTGCCGAAACGTACATGGAACGTAGATGCATGGTACTATTTACGAAACTGTAAATGAGATATTTGATATGATTGTATTATATTACACTAATACTACTACATGGCCAATTTACGATTGTTTTTTTTTATTTATTGTCATATGAGTATTTCCATTGGATATTTTCAAGCTAAAGAAATAAGTTCAATGATTCATTGCCTAATGAATAAGATGTGTGCTAAATGGACAATAGAACTTGAGAAACCGATATTCATATTGTTTTTGTATTTAAAATTCATTGGCAAAAAGCATTGATATACAGAGTTGTACATAACCTTTTGCTAGAGAGTACAGCTCGAACTCCAAAAAATATAAAAGGAATTTTATACCAAATAAAAGCACGTCGAAAACGAAATTTAAGAGTATGACTATATCTCATAAGACGTAGGATTATGGAAAGTTTCAAAATTTCTGGAATATTATTAGGTTTTTTAAAAGGTAGTTCACCACGATCTACCAGACAAAGGCGTTGAGATTTTTCTCGGTATTTTAAGCCTAGCACTGTCATTTATCTATCAAATTAAGTTCTGTTTACCAAAACGATCAGCAAAGAGAGCCCTACAAAGTCTGATAGACGAAAAAGTTTTTAGAGGCTCTTGCGTTTGTCGTAGTTGACTACCCATGTAAATACTCAATCATATTCCTAGAATTTTGAAAATTTTCGTAACCTTCTAGCTCATTATCATCCTATGAATTACCACTTACATTCCTAAATCCTGTTTGCAACGAGCTTTCATTTTGTATAAAATTCCCTTTTATATCTTTTCGTGTTCGACCTGTATTCCCTACCAAAAGGTTATGCACAACCCTGTACTAATCCATTAGTTGTTCTTCAAATAACCATTTTGTACTTCGAGATGATACCAATGACGCCAATCGATATCATTTGAATCAGATCACATTGAATCACAGAATCTATCACGATGTAGTGTTTCTTTATCACATTCAATCGAACGCTATCTGATTAATGACACAAATATTCGGTGATAGGCCATCGTTAAAAAAAAAGAAAACTATCCAAAATCTTTCACGTCTGTTCTAAAAATATCTACATAAAACTTTCATGCAGTAATAGACATAAGTTCTAAAAGAGGACAAAGAAATCTTCATACATTCTCATCTCTGTTCATAGATTCATCATAAAAACCCATAAACGTATGTTATTTGTCTTCATTGATGATTTCCACATACGAGTGTCCCATGACCAGACCATTTAGTTATAAAAAATAAATAATAGTTTTATTGTTTCTATATCATAATAACTTCGATTGGCAAAATTTCCTATAATAATATATTTTGTATCAGCTAGATAACATTTTGTACACAATGGTTTTTAGACATCCAAATATTATTCATGTAAATCTCAACGTTTAGCTGTAAGTGAAAATATTCATAGATTATTTGATTTCTTTAGAAAAGAATATCAAATATTATTGTAGATAATGGTTTAAAATCAATTTCAGGTGAATATTAGCAATCGTTTATTAAAACAATCGGTTTCATATTTTCCTTTCGATTTTTAATATAATAAAGAAATATGCAACAGATAAAGGACACGAAGAATATCTTACATAAAAGAATTCAAATTCGTTTTCTTTTCACACAAAAAAAAGAAATGTTTATAAGTAAGATAGAAATAGTTTTTGTCTTATCGTCGACGATCGTGATCATGTGATCGAGAACGACCATCTTCTGATAGAGATCTTGAATCACCACGAGACTTTTATTGACGACGTTGATACAAACGTTTTCGTAAATCTTTTGAAATCTATATCGGAAACAAAATAGAAGAAAAAAAACTAGAAGAAAGAAAATTTAGTTTACTGGTTTCAAATGCATAAAATTGCAGAATCCACCATGAGGACAATCCCTAGAAGAAAATAGAACATTTCTTTATGAATAACATATATCAATTAGATGGAATAACTATCAAATCTTCTATAGTATGACTCTAAATACAACGTCATTCTGTCCATAGATGTTAAGAGTAGACGTGTTTGATTGAAGTTTCTCTGCACTATACCGACTTGTTAACAACAATATGCAGATTTCTCACATGGGAAACTTTAATATTTCTAAATATGACCTAGTTCAATCGAAGATAATAGTTTTTTCTTCTTCTTGGCGATCTGTGATGTATCATCATTATACAGTCATTCATCACTATAGACTTGTAATTATTTCAAATTCACAATATTTTTTCTTTACATTACAACAAAATTTTTCTCTTCTTAGATGTGATTATCATCGCCTACAGAACTCACATGGTGATTTAGACAGGGGCGGCGCGAAGGGCTCAGAGCAGGGGGGGGGGGGTATTGTGAAAAATGGGAGAAAATAGAAAAAAGTCTCTAAATTGTAAGTACCTAGTACCTTTTTTTACTAGTGTGTTTGAAAGCAAGTAGATAGGTAGATTCTTCTGTTATCAATTATAAAAAATGGAGAACATTGTAATAAAGGTTCTTCAGAACCGGAAGAAGTTCAAAATATATCTTCTGGGAAGTTGAAAAATTTTTCAGACACTTTCTCCAAAATTGGAGAAATTTTGAGACATTTTTTCCAAAATTGAAGAAATTTTGGGACATTCTCTCATCAACTGGAGAAATTTTAAGACATTTTCTCTCAAATCGGAGAAGTTTTGAGACATTTTTTCCAAAATTGAAGAAGTTTTAGGAACATATTCTCACCAACTCGAGAAATTTTGAGACATTTTCTGCAAAATTCAAGAAATTTTGAGATGTCCCCTCACCAACTAGAGAATTTTTAAGATATTTTCTGCCAAATTGAAGAAATTTTGAGACATTTTCTCCAAAATTAGAGCAATTTTGGGACATTTTCTCATTGACTGGAGAAATCTTAAGGCATTTTCTACCAAAATGGTGTGATTTTGGGACAGTTTTTCTCAAAATCGGAGAAAGCTGCAGTCGAACTTTCCAAAGCAGGAGGGGGGTACCCTCCCCCACCCCCCCCGCTCGCGCCGCCCCTGGATTTAGAATAGTTACATGATGACAGAAGACACGATTTATAACAAGAAATGACAGCTTCATAGTTGTCCAAGCTCACAGTAAATCAATTTAATCCTATTTTCTCCTAAAAATAGAAATACACTTCCAACTGCTTATATTAAGGTCAGCGAATGGATTATATTCAATATTTTGTATTGTTTAGATGCTTTTTGTTAAGAATGGCCAATGATTTCAAAACTTTGTCGTCACCGTATAGGTCCCCAACATGCATACGAGTTTTACTACCATATTTTTTTTTGATACTGAATGAGCGTTTACTTGGAAAAGTAAACATGAAGCGAGAAAAGAACAAAATTGTCGGTAGACTATTAACTCTGATTGATTATCTTGCATTTCTATATTATATTCATTTTTGAAGGAAAGATATCAGAAAAAGTGACTACGACAATGAATTACTCAACGTTTGATATCGAATAAAGATAATCTACAGTTGATGTTTTATCAATAAATGTCAAATTTGCAATGATCAGCACGCCTATGTACATACAGATAAAAATACTCACTACTCACAACTGATTAAATTGACATTCAAATTGTATAGAGTCTCTATCAGTATTAATAGAACAAAGCTTTTGGACACTTTATCATCATAATATAAACTATGAAATAATAAGAATAGCGGAAGAAACAAGTTGTAACAATATCAAAAGTATTCAGACATCTAATCGACACCTTTTTTTAAATATTTGCACTACTCATTTTAAACCATGGCTGTACGTCTTAGCATAATCAATCACATCTTAGTTTTCTATTCTATTCCCTCTGTAAAAATTACTTTTTTCTGCTTAATTCGTTTTTTCTTGTACGGCCTTTTAAGAATCAGACAAAAAATTGTATCATGTTTTGACATACGATTCTTACAAGATCTTATATAGTCCCTCGAACAGATAATATGATCTTAGAAGAATGGTACGCCAAAACGTGATGTAAGTTTTTTCAGAGATGACGATTTCTCGTAGGATTTTTCATACGATTTCGTTTGATCTGCTCGATCTTACGTCTGATTTTGTTGAGATAGATTATTTGTTTACCCCATTTGGTATTGTCGACAGCAAGCTTCATGAAAATCAGTAACTGGACTCAATTCAGTATAAATAGCATGTCCATCAAACCATCCATTATTTAGATCAGCAACAGCTTTTTCAGCATCTTCTTCAAAACGAAATTTAACATAATAATTTCCTGCAATAAAAAAATAATAAAAGTTGAAAATTCTTATAAAATCAAAATATTAACCAGCTAAATGTTCAGATAAATTATCACAAATATTCATTTCTTCAATTTCACCATATTTTTTTTCTAATTCAATAAATAATTCTTCAAATGTATCATCAAAATGTTTTTGTATACGTTCTTCTGTAATATCATCAGGAATAAATGATTTATCTGCTTTTTGTGAACTATTTTCTAAACTCAAATAAAGATTTTTTAATAGTATTGTTTGACTAAATATTGGTTTATTATATAATTTTGAACAATGTTCACCATGACGACATGCACCAATTTAAAAAAAAACTGAACAATTAACTTTATCTTTTTCCGTTCCAAATATTGATGCAAGATAATCAGCCATTTTTTTCAATTTTAACACGCAAAAGACCTTTCAATATGAGCAAATTATAAAATAACAACATATTTCTTTCTTTTCATCCGGATAATATTCTATGGATACGCAATTCATTGGTCTAAACCTTTTGCATATATTCACTTTGAGATAAGGAACAACAAAAGCAAGACAATGAGCTTTTTAGAAACATTTGGAGCACTGACACTTATTTATATTTTAGTACGTCTTGCTACTTTTATTTATCAAATTTTATGTCCATTACGAGTTGATATTAAAAAATTCGGTGAATGGGCATTGATTACAGGAAGTACAGATGGAATTGGAAAAGCATATGCTATTGAATTAGCTAAACGAGGTAGATATATATATTATAAATAATAGGAACTTTAATATGATATTTATTTATTTAGATTTTAATGTAATTTTAATTAGTCGAACAAAAGAAAAATTAGAACAAGTAGCAAAAGAAATTCAAACTAAATATTCAAATACACAAGTTAAAATAATTTCAATTGATTTTACAAGTATGACTTATATTCAGATTATTAAATATTTTATCTCTATCTAACCTGATGAGATATGAAATAGTCTGCCAAATTTTATCAAAGTATTCTATCAAGATTTCGATGATGAATTTTTTTTAGAATAAACTCGAAAGTTTGTTATAGCTAGGGACAAGTATGACAAGTGAATCGGTTCTTTTTCGATAGAATAACTGTGAAAAGTTCTGATATCTACAAAACTAACAGAATTATCTTCAATCAATTCCAGTTTCGATTCTAATACTTTAGAAATTATTCCAAGAGCCGACAGATATAAGTCATAGTCTTACAGATCTTAGTTACGTGTTTTTTTATTGAGTAACGTACAAAAGCTTTATTGTAAACTAGCCAGTCCTGTTGCATCTTACTGTATAGACAACAAGGCCAATTGATTAAAACAAGACTAGTCCAAGTAGTGAGCCAAATTTTCATATTTTTTATCTGTTGGCCTGTGTGAATACTGAAAGGTGACAAAAATAAATAGTTCCCAGGGAAACTATTCCAGAAGGATAAGCTGCTTGCATAATCCCTGTAGTATTTAAATGTGACACACGATATAACTGCTGTTACTAATGGAAGTATGCGTTTAACAAACTGATTCAAATCGATACGATATGTGTTCGAATTAGAGATGATCGGGAACCATTATCGAGAAAACAAAATGATTCATTGTCTTGATCTTACTTCCAACAGAATTCTGATAGTAAGGCCTAGACTAATTTTCCCATGTCAATTCAGCAAGCGAAATTACATCGATATTATGATATAACTTTTTAATTTGTCCGTGAATTTCTAGTTTTCAATTTTCTTAACTATTAATAATATACAGTAGGCTTCACTTTTGAGATTAATGCTACTTATGATCTGGAGATTTAAATAGTTCACCCTATAGTTGGACGCATCTTACAATTTGTGTTACACAAAACATAGATCTTGGTCACACATTCTCTAATCCAGGTACAGATTGATGTGAGCTTTATTTCATTTAAAGGCTTGAGATAGATGCAGAGAAAACTATAAATATATTAGTTTTTTTTTGTTTAAATAATTTTAGAAGACAATTCAATTTATTCAAGAATTCGTGAAGAAATTCATGGTATAGATATAGGAGTTCTTATCAACAATGTTGGAATATCTTATGAATATCCTGAATCTTTTGATAAAGTAGAAGAGAATGAAAAATTTCTCAATAATATGATCAGATGCAATGTAGATTCAGTGGCTAATTTAACTCAAATAATTTTACCAGGTTTATTTGTTTAATATTCTTAATCAACTTCTAATAATCGATTTTAAATTTCAGATATGATCAAAAAAAGACGAGGTCTTATTGTTAATATATCAAGTATTTCTGGTCGACGACCAACACCTTTATTAGGTCTTTATTCAGGTACAAAAGGATTTATTGACCTTTTTTCACGGTTAGTCAAATGTAATTATTAATATTGTCTGTCTATTTCTGTTTTTTTTTCTATTCTAAAACAGATCATTAGCTGCTGAATGTATATCACGTGGTGTATATATTCAATCCTTATGTCCTGGTTATGTTGTTAGTAAATTATCTGGTATTCGTAAAGCATCGTTAATTGCTCCTACACCAGAAAAATTCGTTGTTAGTGCACTTGATCGTATTACACTTCCATTTACAACAGGATATTGGACACATGAAATTCAAGTAAATCAAATAAATGATAATCAAGAGAAAATCTCTTATCTATTTATTTTTTGTTTAGGAATTTATTCAATCACTTTTACCAGAATTTCTTTCCAATAAAATTGCAATGCATGTTTTAAGTGGCGTTCGAGCTAAAGCTTTGAAAAAACGTAACAAAGGACAATAAAACATTTAGTTTTCTTTTTTTTCCAAATTTCTTTACTGTTGGAGTTTCTATTAGTGATATTATTTTTTAGATGTCTTTTATTGAAGTTAGTATTGATTCTCATTTTCCTCTTCAAAATTTACCTTATGGTATCTTTTCAACAAAAGATAATGTAAGTAAGATTTTTTTTTACTAAATTATGAATTGAAATAAATCATATAGACAAAACCAAGAATTGGTGTTGCAATAGGAACAAAAATTTTGGATTTGTCTGTTATTAAACATTTGTTTGATGGACCATATTTGAATGGAAAACAAAATGTATTTGAAGAGGTAAATCAAAAATTTGGATTTAGATTATTATGATTCAACGTATGATTGAAGTCTTTCAAACGTTGACAATGATAGACTCGAATCATATGCCTTGAACAAAATTGAGTTTTACGTCCGTTTTATAAGACTATTTAAACCAGTAAAGAAGGATAGATAGTTTTCATTCAAATACAGTTTTTCGCATCATTAGACTGGTCGGTATTCATTTAATCAGAACATTTGAAATAAATTCCATTATGAAAATATGCCTGACTATTTGCATTCGAAAATTTTAATATATATTATCTGGTAAAATATCGATACTTATTGGGACTTTTCTCTATCCTATCGAAAGAACTTATTTTATATTTTACTTAGACTACTCTCAATAAATTTATGTCACTTGACAAAGCAGCATGGAAAGAAACTCGACAACGATTACAAGAACTTTTATCTGATAGTTGTACAACATTAAAAGATAATGATGAATTACGAAAAAAGTATGATATTAAAATAGATCATATCTTTTTTTTAAAATTTCCATAAATACACTTAATCAATAAACTCTAGAGCTTTCGTCGAACAAAACGAGGCTAATATGCATGTACCTGCACAAATAGGTGATATAAATTGATCTAAGCTGCTTGACACATTCATTAAAAAAATCTTTTTCATCTTATATTTTGTTGATGATATTCATTGACATATTCTTTTCTTTTAGGTGATTATACAGATTTTTATTGTTCAAGAGAACATGCAACGAATGTTGGTACAATGTTTCGTGGAAAAGAAAATGCTCTTAATCCAAATTGGTTACATTTGCCAGTTGGTTATCATGGACGAGCTTCATCAATAGTTATATCCGGAACAAAAATTCGTCGACCGAATGGACAAACATGTCCTGATGAAAGTTCGTTTATTTAAATTAGATTATTCTATATGTTTCTTTCATATTATAGGTAAACCACCAACATTCGGAAATTGTAAATTACTTGATTTTGAACTTGAAATGGCTTTTTTCATTGGTAGTCAAGGTAATCAACAAGGAGAACCAATTACGATGGATAAAGCTGACGAATGTATATTCGGTCTTGTCATTATGAATGATTGGTCAGCACGTGATATACAAAAATGGGAATATGTTCCATTAGGTCCATTTAATGGAAAAAATTTTGGTACAACTATTTCACCGTGGATAGTAACTATGGACGCATTAGAATGTGCGTTATGTAATGGACCAACACAAGTAAGAATTGTTCTTTAGATAAACAAAGATTTGATTTTAAAATTTTCTAGGATCCAAAACCGTTACCCTATTTAATTCAACAAGAACCAAGTGCATTCAATATCGATTTACAAGTATCATTGATACGTAAGAAAATTTTTTGTTTTCTCATCTTTGAATACTTTCTCTTCTTTTAGCAAATAAATCTTCAAAAGAATATATAATTTGTAAATCAAATTTGAAGGTAAAAAGAAAAAACTTCAATAAAGTCTTATTTTGAATTTGATCATGTAAATAGTATATGTATTGGAATTTGAAACAGATGCTTGTTCACCATACAATAGCAGGATGTAATTTGCGACCTGGTGATTTAATTGCAACAGGTACAATCAGTGGTCCAACACCTGATTCATATGGATCAATGCTTGAATTATCATGGCGTGGATCAAAACCTTTACAATTAGATGAAAATTTAACAAGAAAATTTCTTGAAGATGGTGACACAGTAACAATGACTGGTAAAAAAGATATGAACTAAACGAATTAGTCTTTTAAAAACATAATAATTTTATAGGTTTTTATCAAGGAGATGGTTTTAAAATCGGTTTTGGACAATGTATCGGAACAATAATTTCAGCACTTCCATTACCAACATGAATGTTTTGTTTTATTTTATTTAGTCGGCTTCTTGGAGTTTAAAAGCTACGTGGAGATTATCAATGTGATTCTTTTTTTAGATTAAATCATAATTTGTATATGAATTAATCATCATAATATAATAAAGAATGTAGGGAGGGAAAGGGTTTTTCCAATATATTATTAAATTAAGCCTGTAATTACATCTTCCAATTCAACAGAAAACTCAAATAAACAATACATAGCTATAGCTCAAAGTGCGCAAATGCAAGTCGACCTCGTATATGTCAAAAGACATAAATAATTAATAAGAATATTCTATTTCTTTGACATGCCATTACGGTTATTAATATTTAAATTTTGATCTACAGATTTGTTCTACAAGTAGCTGTTATCCAAGCAGACAAGAATTTCTCAAAAACCCATTTAAACGCTCTGATTGTGGTTCCTGTTTAAGTAAATTTTACGTTTAGAAAATGTCCAAAAAGTTTTCTCACAATATTTTTGACATACATCATACATTAAAAAAGTCATTTTTTTCTGCAAAACACGTCAAAATAGTGCAGATAAATTTTTGCCCGTTATCCAAATACAAAAGTTGTCTTTTAACGCACCTTTTAAGATAAAAGTGACTGATTTTGATGTTGCCGGAATAGACGTGAAGACACTCAAACGAGAACAGCAGTTAGAGCGTTTAAATGCGTCTTCAGAAACTCTTGTGTGCTTGGGTATTTTGTACTTTGCAATACATAGGCTGATTTATTTGAAAAACCCTGAAAATCTTGTTTTTATTAAAATATTGCCTATGAATACTCATGTTCGAGTTTAATAATTCCGAATCTAACATTTATCGATAAACGTTTTCACTAATAAAACAATTCATATGCCTTAAATAATTATCATTGAATTGTTAATATTAATAATGATTGTGGATTATTCAAAACAAGAAAAACAAAACAATCGATTTAATTCATCGTTATCTATCTAAAATCTTTCGATTGCCAACGACAATAATTTCAGCTTCAGCCGACTGAGAATCAATGACATTAACAATGTGTTATTAGATCATATATTGAATTATCATCAATTGTTCCTAAGAATAGTTCATATACGTACTATGCTTGCTCTCTTTGCACTAACGAGGGAAGGTTCCAAGTATAAGTCACCGTTTTCAATCTGGTATTTGCCATTTTGTAGATCTCAGTGAGTGCAATATGTAACATGAAGGGTTGGTCCCCATACTGAACTTTTATGGGACTACGAGGTACCAGAAAAGGTGTCCCATAGTAACTGAGGATAAAGTGTCAATGATATTTTTCATATTTTGTGTTGATGTAGAGGGCTGAATTTTTTACCAGATATATATCTAATCAAGATCTTTTATTCCTGAAAATTCCAGCTCTCTAGTTATAACTAGTGGTCAAATACATTGAAGAGTGTAGATGTGAGCGGGTATGTGGTGTGGGTCTGTGTGTGGGTGCCGCCTGCCTGAAATGTCCTTGGCATTTACAGGGCCTCATTGTTGCTTGCAACAGTGAGGGGCGCCCCTGGGCTGCTGGTAGCCACTTCGTCTTGCTATTAGGTTAACCACCTATCAGTAGGACATAAAACCTCACTGGCTAATGAAACAGATCAAAGACAATGCATTAATGCACGGAGAACAACGTTCTTCGGTGGATGGAATGTTAGGTCGTGTTTTCGTCACTCAAAGAAACACCTTATTGTCAAACAACTGCAAAAATATCGTATCTAAGTGGCCGCTTTAAGTGAAACAGCAATGTACGAGTCAGAAGTCTCAAGCAGTGGTGAATATACAATGATGCATTCAGGTGTCTCTAGTAAAAACAAGACGAGATTAGCTTATGCATAGCGATATGCCTAAACAAACAAGCTACATTAGTATGGAAGAACCTGGGATCAATCTGGGAGCCAATAAGTGATCGCATCCTCATGATACGACTACAATATACACCGATCAACACAACAATCATCCCCGTTTACTCGCCAATCAATCGAAATAACCAACAAACAGCTACTGTCACATCGGATAGCTTGTATGCGGACCTACAACGTACTGTCAACAAAGTCCCGCCCAACGACATCTTATTGATTATAGGTGAGTTCTATGCGGGAATCGGAAAACAACAACATTACACAAATGGTAACGTGGTTGGCCCGCACGCAGTCGATCGCATCAACGAAAATGGGCAACGGCTGATGGACTTTTACACCACGAACAAGGGTGTGGGTGAAACAACGATTCTCACTGACATCCACATCCACATCCACACACCCACCCACCCCCCACATCCACACACCCACCCACACCCCACATCCACACACCCACACCCACCCACACCCCACATCCACACACCCACACCCACCCACACCCCACATCCACACCAAAAGATCCTCATGAACTATGCTGCGGGGTACCCATAGACTCTCAAGGACAATCCTCTCGGTATACTTCTAGGTACTCAAGTGTGATCCTATGGCGATACCCACAGGCCCCGGAGACCTACCCTATGGGGAGTAATGTACGCCTGTGGGACAAACTTTTTCGTGTTCGAAATTCCGTTTGTCCGGTCCCTTGATTTTTCAAAATGTTCCGATTCCGCATACCCCATCCCGAATTTTTGCGGATTATTCCGTAAAATCTCCGTTAGTCCCGTTTCTTCCATTGATCGAAAAGAATACAAAAGTATCGTTTTGTCACAGAAGAACATATATTTTTTATACTACGAACAGACAATTTGTATTCGTATAGATAGTTATTAGATGTAGTTGCTACCTTTGAATTTATATAATTGACAGCATACTACAAACGGCGGAACATGTCTAGGTGTAGTTGGAATTCATAATTTGCTACTGATCAATTGCAATATTAGAACATTCATGAAAATTTACTTGTCTGTAGCCGAGGTATAGGAAGAAATAGATTGATTTGGGGCAAACTGTAGTTCAAGTACATTCTCATCCTGACGCTCACACTGGTTGATGCGCAGAGTACTAATTAAGCAAGATGATATGCGTAAATTGTAGTAACTGTGAAAAAACTGATAAGAAGAGATGATAGTGAACAGATTCGAAGGCATCTGGCAGTAGTTTTTGCTGCAGTTTTCTGTTATGTTATTGTTTTAGGCTTTAGAGTCCTTGTTAGAAATAGGAAGTCTGAAACTTAGGACGCGTTTTGACATGTAAATTCAGAAAATTCGGGGTATTGGTTTTTCTCTGAATAGTTCCGAATTCCGTTTGTCCGGTTGCAAAAGTTTATAAATAATCTCGGTCCCGAATGTTCCGCCAGGAAAAATTCCGGAGCAGCTCCAATTGTCCTGCGTGACGAAACAAACGGAATTTTTCGGCATTCAAGACTGTCCCCCAGACCCCTCAGGGTAAACATGCGTCCTCAAGATCTACAATATTGGGAAATCGGTAGATGCTCCAGGACTGTCATATGGGGACACTCACAGATTCCCAGGGTCTATACTATGGGTGGAGGGATGCCCTCATAAGATAGCCCTTAAGGACCTAAAGGTACCTCTATAGGATAGCCTTTGAGGAGCTAAGGGTACTCTCATAACGTAGCCTTTGACGAGCTAAGGGTATTTCCATAAGATAGCTCTTGAGGACCTAGGAGTACCCTCACAGGATGGCCCTTGAGGACCTAAGGCTGCTCCTATAGGATAGCTCTTGAGGGCCTAGGATACCCCCATAGCATAGCCCTTGAGGGTCAAAAGGTGCCGTCATAGGATAGCCTTTGAGTAGCTAAGCTACCCGCATAGAGTAGGGATTGCAGATCTAGGGACATCACCATAGAGTAGCTTTTGAGGACCTAAGGGTGCCCACATAACTAGCTGATGAGGAAACATTCCCAACGGTGACGTCGATTTTGAGTCAAGTGTATGCGCATCATGTAGACTCCAACGATCTATGAATACTCTGAAAAAAGTTCGTACCGCTAGCTTATTACTGCTGAGATATTGTATTTTTACTGTATATATAAGCAAAAAGCCATGGTTCCCTTCAGGAACACTAGGAAAACTGAGTTTCGAATTTCAACTTGAAACTGTGCGTAGGGGCAGGTCTCAATAAGAATAGTTTATTGTGAAAGTTTCAGATCCTTTGATTGCTTCTAGTATGAAATAAGAACATCAGAATCTGCTGGTGTATACAAGCTATTTTAGCATAGCTGTATCTTTTAGAATAGGAAGAACGAAAAGATCTGAAACTTTCATAATAAACTATTCTCACTGAGGTCTATCTCTATGCAAAGTTTCAAGTCGAAATTTGAAACTTAGTTTTTCTAATGTTCCCGAGGGGGGCCACAGCTTTTTTCTTAAACATACAGTAACAATGCAATATCTCGGCAGTAAGAAGCTAGCGGCACGAACTTTTTTCAGAGTATTCATAGATCATTAGGATCTGCAGGATGCGCATACGCTCAACTCAAAAGTCATGTGACAGTTGGGAATGTTTCTTCATGAGTACTAATTAAGTGAGTACTAATTAATATAGCTGACAAATGAAAAAGTCCTTCAAGTAAGGGTAATACTATTTCTTGACTTCTTCAAGCAACTATGTAACAGTGAAATGGGTATGAATGTTGGCGCAGGGTTGGGATGGTGTATTGCGGTTGTTACCCTCAATGTTGATGTGATTATGTGCGTAGATGAGTGGACGTATGCGGGCTTGAATTCATGTCCCTATGGGTATAACTATGGGTACCATTTGTTCTAAATGTATGCTGACACAACTCTAAGTATGTGGTGTGGGCATCAGTAGGTGTTCTGCCTTTCATTATCCATGCTGATGCACGCACACCTATGCGCATATCCACAAGTATATCGCCACGCACACGCACACTCTCACATCCGTCCCCACATACCGAACACTCACAATGACATACACCAACATCCATATCTGACCAACACTATTTAGATAACTGAATTCGGCGTTATAAGGACTGAGAATAGCTGAGTGAGAGAAGTTCATGTTTGGTGCATGGTTACTTGTAACGA